CTATACAGAGCATTGACTCACATTGATTTTCTGTGCGTGGGTGTTACCTTCTAGGTTAATTCTTTTTGATCTAACCTTTTCTCTAGTTCCTGGTCCGGTAATGGGTCTTTAATGCAACACATGGGCTCAAAACACTGGCCTAGTCTGTGTCACTATGAAGTATACTCTTCCAAGAATGGTTCTTGTTTTCTGCTACACTGTTTAATTCAATGTCAAATATTGCTTGCTGAATTGGAGCAAAAGTAAATGTTCAAGATGAGCCAATTGAGATCTTAAATATGATTGAAGTGTATTACATACATATATGGAAATATCACAATGAAACCCTTCTGTACAATTAATATACACTAAGAATGTGTGTGTGTGTGTGAGAGAGAGAGAGAGAGAGAGAGAAAGCAATTGGTATCTCAGTTCATAAAACATCACCTTCCAGAGGAAAACCATAGTTCAAACCCAAGGTGGTACTAATGATCCTTGAACCTTGAACATTGTGCTTTGGAGTCTCTGGTGCCAACTTGCAGAGTTGAGTAACTTCCTTCCTTTCTTTTTTTCCTTCGTCTTTTTAGGACAAGAATATCCCAAGGCATGAGTACCTTGAAATTGCTGAAGTATATCCTGTTTGTCTTCAATTTGCTCTTTTGGGTAAGTATGTTTCTTCTGAGCATGGCTGAAGCAATCTCCCCCCACCAGATAAGCTCTCCTTTTCTGACCTCTACTAAAGAGTCTGGTGTGGAATGCAGCCCCAACATGCCTGGGTAATGTTCAGCACACCCAACATAGAAACAAAGCAGTAATAATTTTCTCTTTTCTTCCCATTCTGCCACAGTATAAGTCTATAAAATTGAAAGGTACCAATGCAGTTATTAGTGGGGGTGTTGTTTCTGGGGGCTTTAGGATACTACTGCTCACAGCTGACATCTATAGATGAGAAGCAAACTACAATTTGGGTATTCAATTCCTTTCATTTTTTTCTGGATTCCTTGGAAGAATAGCTAGTTGAAAGAGAAGTGGCGTTTTCTGGGGATATTTTACTGTGCCATATTTAGCAATTGAATTTCAGATATAGGATGGATTAGTACTCATGTGTTTGTGAGAAGATTCTATTGCTCCTCCCAACTCTACTGGGGATTGAACTCAGAGCCACACACTTGCTAAGCAAGTGCTCTACTACTGAAGCTGTATCCCCAGCCCCTTTTGTTTTTATTTTGTTTTTGAGACACAGTCTCACTAATTTTGTTTAGGCTGGCCTGAAACTTGCCACCCTTCTGCCTCAGCCTCTTGAGTAGCTGGGATTGCAGGCATGTACCACCATGTCCAGCATATGAGAAAATGCTTATAAGTTTGGCTTCTCTAATTTCTGCCTAGCAGATGAGCTTCCTCAAGCAGGGCCATCTTATACATGGTCATGGTTTCCGAAGGGAAGACCATGTGTGAGCAACTGAGGGACAAGAATTGGGATGACTGAAGCATGAAATTAGGTTTTTATATAGTGAAGTATGGCTCAAAAGGGAGACCTTTTCTTGGTGTCTAGAAATGGGTAGGAAAGATATGAGTGGGACTGCATATGAGAAAGGTGGGGTTGCCTCTCTTCTAGGAGCGTGGGGAAGCTGGGTAAAGAGGTTCATTGAACCAATGGATCAGGTGATCCTGATTCAAGAAGGCAAGAATATGAGTGAAGAGATACTCAGGAACCATATTTTGCCTTAGAATGTTGTGGAATTCTTCCTTTCAGTTCTGTGGCTGTTGCATTTTGGGTTTTGGGATCTACTTCCTGATCCACAACAGCTTTGGGGTGCTCTTCCATGATCTCCCTTTCCTCACGCTGGGCAATGTACTTGTCATCGTGGGCTCCATTATCATGGTGGTCGCCTTCCTGGGCTGCATGGGCTCTATCAAGGAGAACAAATGCCTGCTGATGTCGGTGAGTTGTCTTACAGCAGATGTGATGCTTTGAGTAAGGGTAATGTGGGAGGGGAGTTGATGATGCCTCAAATCCAGGGCAATATGTTTCTTCATAGACTATCCATAGACAAGGGAACATACGGAAGCTGAACCTCACATCAACCAAGTCCGTCCAGATCAGTGGAGTTTTGCTTCTGACTGGGATCCAAGGGACAGGCAGGAGAGGACATTGCTGTCCTTCCTTGCATCCATTTTACACTGTTAATAATGACTTTTGTCATTATATCTTCCCTTACTAGCATCTTATTTTTTCTCCTTATCTGTTTGAAATAAATTCTGCCTGAATTTTCATGTTAGAATGTACTTTAGGATCTGGCTCAGAGTCACTAAGACTCTTCTGAGTTTGGTGTCCCTTCTCAAATGGCAAAGCATGCTTCCTTAACTCATATCTGCACAGCATACTCCATAAGTGACCCAGCTTAGGTGAGGATCTTGGTTGTAGGCATTGAGTCTAATGTGAGAGAAGCAAGAGCATTGCAGTTGTTCCTGGAGAAGCACCTTCAGGCTTTGATTTTGCCTACAAGATTGTGGAAAAAAGAGTTCCACATTTCTCTAATGTGCCCGGGACACAGCTTGTCATAATAATGCCTATCTCTCCATAGGTATGGGTTCCCAATCACCTTGGTTCTTTCTTTTTTCCCTTGTAGATCAACCATGAGAAATAATAATAGTAGCAATAATAATAATAATAATAATAAAACAAGTCTGTGTTCTCAGATAGTTCTCAAGCTGCTAACAAAAAATAGGAGATATCAGACTTGGGGTAGAGGGTATAAGCTATCAAAATTAGTGTTGCAGTAAAAAGGAAAATGGAGAAGGAATAAATGAAAAAATATTTTTGCTTGTGAATGGCATAAAGAGACTAAGTATCTAAAGTTGGAGACAAAAATAAGTTGGAATGATGATTAGGACCTTTCTTTCCCCCATCTTTATAGGGTTTCTCTCAACTTTTATCACCACTCACCCTCCATCTTGAACTAGCTTTGATGTGGTGAAAAGGACACATTCTAAAGATACATGATTTAGTTTACTGGCCCTTGGCTCATAGGCTGATGCAAAATTCCTTCATTTATTTAACAAATAGTATTATGTGTTATGTGCAAGTTACTCTAATAGTCATGATGGGTGAGAGAGCACAAAGTTAAAAGACTTAAATCTGCCCTCTAGAGTCCAGTTGTAAGAAAAGAACACACATTTCTCTCAGAACAAGAGAGAGCTTACAAAGCCCCAAGGAGGCAGCAACAGGAGAATCTTGTATGTGTACAAAGACCTGTCTGGATGCTGCCAGAATAGAGAGGGATAGGTCAGAAACCAGGATCCTGTTCTGAGCATGTCTTTGCTTTGCTTCAGTTCTTTGTTCTTCTATTGATTATCCTCCTTGCTGAAGTGACCTTGGCCATCCTTCTCTTCGTGTATGAACACAAGGTGAGTTATAAAGAGCAGTGCTCATTGTCTTATCTGAAAGTGAGGAGTGTGCAGTGGAGAAGCTAGTACTATAATAAAGATAGCAATGAAGTGGAGAGATAAATTTTTATTGGGGAGAGGAACAAATACCATCAAGGAAATTGTATTTGAGTGCCTTCAAGGATAAGTGAAAGGAACAGTAAAACAAACTTATCTTTGTCCTGTTCACTTTCCTCTGTATCTGTCTCCATGCCTATGGATAGCTCTTGCTGTCATCATCCCTTTTCCTCCTTTGTAAAGTCACAGTTTTAGAAATACAAGAATTCATTGTGTTCATCTTCCTTCAATGTCACCTCACCCTCAGCACTTCTTTCTATATTTACACTCCCTGCCCTCACTTCCCTAATTGTGAGCAGACCACTTGGAAGGGAAGAACAAGTCCATCTACTAACTTTTACCAGAAATTCCTTCTTCCTTGAATTCACCTGAGTTTTACAATATCTCCTTTGCTGGAATGTGCCCTGCCTAGCTGAACAACTATGTGCTTCAAGGCCTGAATGACAGCATCCAACGCTACAACTCAGACAACAGCACCAAGGTGGCGTGGGACTCCATCCAGTCAATTGTGAGTACAGATGAAATCCTCCCCAGATCAGCCCAGACTTCATTTCTAGCCTCAGACCCTGGAAACCAGCATTCCTTTTCTGGAAGTTTCAGATTCTAAGGTCCACAGCCTTGAAGTCTAGAATAATGCCTTAGCTATCACAAACAGAAGCACAGAAAACAGTCTGATTGGTACAAAGTTCTTTATATTCTTTCTTTCATTCTTTACTGATTCATTGCTTGAACCTTCATGGGATTTGAAGAAGACCTGAATATATCCTATTGGATTAGTTCTTGTATCTTCCAAATTTTTACTAAAATGTACAGTTGTACAATACAAGAAGTCAATGTTGAAATCTGAGTTACCCAAATTAGGCTTGTTACATAGCATTCTAGTGCCCCATTCCTCATGCCTCCTCCCCACCGGCAAATATATATATTAACTGCATTCCTGCCTAGGTATGTTGGGGGACAAAGAAGGGTAGAGAGACGTGCACAGGCATAATCTATGTCTGAAACCACATGCTGGCTTAGTGTAGCCATAAAAAATATCACAGGAATTAGAGCGTGGAGACCAGAATTGGGTAGCCTTGGGAAAGTCACTTAACCTCTCTAGATCCCAGGTCTTTATTCTTTTCAATGTAGTTGAAAAGTTCTTTTAACATATAATTCTTCGACACATATGAAAGTAAAGATAATATTAGCAAAACAACCTTCTGAGTGCATGCCACAGGCTTCACAGCACAGATGACATTTTGCAAGTATCATTGCATCTTATTTCTTATACTTATTTACTAGAATATTTTAAAGTGAATACTACACATTATACCATCTCACCCACTAAAAGTCTAACTACTAAACAGTCTATAATCAAGTTATCCTAACTTTCTCAGTTTCTTTTCAATTCATTGGTTCAAATCAAATCTCTTTAGAGAAGGGACTGGGGTGTGGTTCAAGTGGTAGAGCACTTGCTTAGTGAGGTCCTCAGTTCAGTCTCTTGTACTGCCAAAAACAAAAGCTGTATTATATGCCTCCATAATTTTCTTTTTGACTTTTGGTTTTTGTGTGTTTGTTTTTTGAGACTAGGTCTTGCTGTGTAGTCCAGGCTAGCCTCAGACTAATGATCTTCTTGCCTCAGCCTCCTGAGTACTGAGATTGCAAATGTACACTACCACACTCAGCTTCTAATTTTCTTTGAATCTGCCACAGTATCCTCTTTGTTCATGTATGTGTTTGTGGACAGAAATTAGGTTGTTTGTCTCTTAGATTTCCCTACTTTCTGGATATGGTTAGTTCCTTTGGTGTCAGGAAGTTTTCATTTCCCTCAAGCCCTGTGAATCTAAGAGGCTTGATGAGGTCTCCTTATAGTAAAGACTAACATAGTTGGTACCTCCTGTTGCATCATATAAGCAGGTACATAACTTCTAATTGTTTTGTTTTCTGTGATCTTAAGACAAGTCGGTGGATCTAGATATGGTAGCCTAATTTCTCCATTATAATGTGTTCTGGGTATATAATTATCAATCTGTAAAATGTGAATAAATTAAACATGCCCTGTCTATTTTGAAGAGATTTTATATGAATAAAATGGTACAGATTTGAAAGAACTTTGTTCCAAGGATCAAAAGTAATAGGTCAATTCTGACTTTCTGCTTTAGAGTCATGTCTGAATGGCACTCTTCCCTCTAAGTTCCAAATTTCTTTCTGTTGACTTTCTAACCGTTATGTTTTGGGGGGCTTGGATTTTTAGTTTCATTGTTGTGGTATAAATGGCACAAGTGATTGGATGAGTGGCCCACCAGCATCTTGCCCACAAGATCCACAAGTTAAGGTAATTTTATTGGAAAATTTCTTGTTACTGACTTCTGTGTTTAGACTTTAATTACCTTGGAAACCGTGTCATACAGGATCTAGGAATGTTACTTTCATCAAAAGATTAACCGGATGACAACCTCAGATAACTAAAAACAGAAATCGAGTAGTAAACTCATTTATCTAAAGATACTATGAAGATTCTTGCTATATTAAGCTCTTCATTAAGAGTTATTAATAGCTTATTCTTAATAACTATTATTAGTAACAGTTAATTAAGAGTTTTATGAAAATGGCAGAAGGTTTTGTCTAGATATTTCTTGAGCAAGAAGTAGGTCTCCTTGTGGTTGAAAGTAGAATTTAGAAGAGCTTATCCCTCTACCTGTTTCTCTGTTCTTCCTTGATAGATGATAGGATCTATCCCCATAGTGAAATGAATCATGAGTGAAGGAGTGAGGAGTTGGGCAAGAATTGATAGAACTGAAAGCACTTGCTCACTTAATTTGGGTCTCTGGAATAGGTTCAGAGAAGCCTCCAAAGTCATCTTACAAGTAGGTCAAATCCTAAAAATCCTCTCCTACACCCATCACCCACTCCTCAGTTTATTGAGAAATCACCAGAGATTCTTTTTTTAAGATCCAACTAATAGCTTCCCTGGAGCTTGGTAGGCTCTTGAAGCAGAAATCGAAATGCAAACTATTGTAGGATTGCATCACCTAAAATTTCATTTGTTAACCTTAGATCATCACTGAGTATTCAAAGGACCTAAGAACATCTATTGCTGACCTGCTTCTTGGGAGCTAGTTTAACTCAGTGACTCAAGATAGGACTTCCGCATTAGGTGCCAGTATAATGATAACACCACCAGAAAAGTACTTTATGCGTGTTTCTTGATCCATACAAATAAAATAATAATGTAATACCTAGCTTAAGTCTTTTGTGTTGCATAAAGAAAAATACAAACTATCTTTCCAAACCATCCTCCTGATAAAGTTGAATTATAAAGTAGTACTATTTGTATCTGTAATTTTTTTCTAGGGCTGCTATATGAAATTGCAAATGTGGTTTTACTCCAATTTCTTATATATTGGAATCATTACCATCTGTGTATGTGTGATACAGGTAAGAGCTTAATCCTAGGACTATTCTGAAGATTAAATGAATTAAATCATAAAAAGTTTAAGAACAGTACTGCATGTACTGTTTTAGTTCCTGAGTTCCTGCAGTCAAGTAGCAAATGATGCTATTAGTTATTTGACTTGAGACATTCAGACAATATGCTGTAAGGACATCTGTATGGTCAATGAATCCCTCAAAGGTAGAGATTCACAGTCAAATTACAAGTGCCAGCAAGAACTTCTCTTTGGTCCCTTGCTGGTCTTGAAAGACTGTGATTAATGAAATAGTCCACTTGAAAAATTTATCTTGTATGCTAAAGAGGAATCGGTAACGAAAATTGTAATCATTTTCTTCTTTGCTTCCACGCTTAGTTTGACAAATGGAGGCAAATTGGGGGTAGTTTTGTGTTCATTTTGCTCTGTGTTATTTCTAACATTTTTATACTCGAGTATTTATGACTTAACCGAGAAGCTCAGAGACAAGTGTTTTTTCTCTGCTTGGAAACCAAATGACACAGGGATTGGCAGTGGTGACTCACTGCACTGGGTTAAGTAAGCAGAATTTGACAATACCACCAGCAGATCTTCCATGATTCTGAAGAAAATAAAAATGTTCCATGACTGTACTTTACACTCTTTCTATCATTGTCTCTAGTCTCTCTCCATTGTTATTGATTGATGGATTGATTGATTGATGGTACAGGGTCTTGAACTCAGGGCCTACACCTTGAGCCCCTCCACCAGCCCTTTTTTGTGATGGGTTTGTTTTGAGATAGGTTCTCACAAACTATTTGCCTGGGCTGGCTTTGAACCATGATCCTCCTGGTCTCTGCCTCCTGAGTAGCTAGGATTACAGGTGTGAGCCACCAGTGCCCAGCTCCCATTGTTATCTTTAAGCTAAAAGAGAGAACTCCTGAATAGGAAGTGATGGTGAGAGGAGTGGTCAAAATGTGATGGGTATGTTCTTTTTCTTGGAGCCAATCCCTGGAATTGTGAGAGAAATGGCTTCTCTAAAGAAGACCTCACACTTTCCCAATTATTTTTTCAGGTGCTGGGGATGTCCTTTTCACTGACCCTGAACTGCCAGATTGATAAAACCAGCCAGGCCCTAGGGCTGTGATCTGCACCTGCCCTGTGTCGGAGAGACTTGTTTCATCTCTGCAAATCCAAACCATTCATAGCATGAAGCCCCAAATGATCACCTGCTGGACTGGCTCTGTGTCTTCTTCTCACCTCTTCCCTGTTTGGATCCCTGTCTTACACAATCAGAGAACAGGGTATCAGCCAGTCCTTTTCTGTCTCAGACACACAATAGCCATTCACTCACTGATGGCAGCAGCCATGTCCCTCAAGGTGGCAAAAACACACCTGAGTGATTTTTAGACACAAAAGGCCACAAGAACCTGTGGCACTGAATGACTTGAGACAAAGAGTAGGTCCAGGATTTGAATGTTTATGTCTTCATGTTGTCAAATCAATCTCTAGCCTCTGAATTCATGCCCCGTCTACTCTACAAAGTCATACAAGAGACAAGTTGAAGGGAGATCTGGAGCCAGACTCACTAGATCTGTGCCACAAACCTGTTTCCTTTTGACCAGGGGCCTCAGCTACAGAAATGGCAGAATATTATTTTTTCAAAGGACAAGGTTTCATTTCAATTTCTTTATTAAAATGCCTTATTGACTTATTCTAAGTCTTTTCTGAAAAGTATCCAGTGATTCCTCCCATGACTTCAGCCAGTCTCCTAGCCATGAAGGAACCCAGAAGCACTAGTAACTCTGGTGGGTTAACTGATAATCACATTCAGAAGGGTCTTGGTATTATTTCTCTGTCATATAAGGTTTTCTTAATGTGCTATTTTCTTCAATAAATAAAATAGCTTATGATCTATTCTTGTACCTCAAACACTTCTTCTGTGACTGAGCCTGACTGTCCTGTCAGCAAGCCAAGTATATTAGTTAGATATTGCTATTTAACAAGTTAGCCCAAAATATAGAGCATTTTAAATTTTCTTTTTATCCACATATATTAATTGTTCAAAGGGGGTGCATTTTGATATTCCCATACATGCATATAATGTACTTTGATGAAATTCACCCCCTCTATTACTCTTTCTTGTCTCCACTCCTTACCTATTGAGTTATTTTGAGACAGGGTGTCACTATGGAGCCCAAGCTGACCTCAAACTTGTAACCTTCCTGCTCTGTCTTCTGAATGTTGTAATTACGGGTATGCACCATCATGCATATATCTCATAGTTTTAGGGATTGGAATCTGGGAGCTGTTTAGATGAGTGAGTATGGTTTATTGTCTCTTACATAACTACAATCAATTGGTTAGCCATGGCTACTGTCATCTCAAGTCTCAACTAGAAGGTAATCCACCATCAAGCTCTCATGCGGCTGTTAACAGGCCACAGATCATCACCACATATGAAGCAAGTTTCCCCCACAGTGAAACATCCAAGACAGAGTATTAGATGCAGCACCCCAAACAGAAGACACAGTCCTATTATAACCTAACTTTAAAATGCTATGACATGAATTCTGCTGTACTCTACTCCTTAGAAGTGATTCATCAGATTGACCAGAAGAGGAGAGAAGCACTGTTTTTGATTCTGATTCCAAGTGATTTCCAAGGACTACAGGAAAGAGAAAATGGGGAGGTTTCAATTGAAGTGCACAAAGTTTCAATGATGCAAAATGACTAAGTCTTAGAGATACACTTTTAGCATAATCCCCACAGTAGTGATACTGTAGTACATACTTAAAAATTTTCTAACGGTAGGTCTATGTTAAGTGTTCTTATCACAAATAAGTAGAAGAATAAATAAATAAATAGGCCAGGAGAAAACTTTGGAGACAATAAATTTTATGTCATATACTATAGTGATGGTTTCAAAGGTATATAGTTATCTCCAAACTTATAGAGTTGCATATATTAAATATGTACAACTTGTTGAATGCCCATCATAACACAGTACGTGGTTTAAGAAAACAAAAAGAAACAAGGCACAATGAACCAAGAGAAACAATAAGTAACAGAAAAGGACCCACAAAGCTTCAGGTAATAGGGTTACAAAATAGCAATATTTTCAAAATACAAAAATAGGAATATTTTGTAGAGTTAAAAATAGTTTTAAAACATGTGTATATTAAAAAAACTAAAGAAATATTAAGCATTTTGAAAAATAAAATATAATAATTGAAACCTTAAAACTTAAGTGATGTATAGCACCAATATGATGCAACTGAAAAAGATTAATAAGCAGGAGGATTTACATGAGGAAATGAATCCAAATGTAGCTATTGTGGACTAAATTGTACATCCCCAGATATGTGTCCAGATATAAACATCTGGTTCCTGTGAATGTGGCCTTATTTAGAAATAAATTCTTTGTGGTTGTTATTAAGTTAAGGATCTTGAGGTGAGATCATCCTAGATTTTGGATGTGCCCTAAATCCAATGTCCGCTTTCATTAAAAGAGAAAGGAAAAACAGTGAAAAACAGATACAGAGGAGAACACCTAGAGGGGAAGGCCATGTGAAGGCAGAGGCCTGTAAGCCAAGGAAGGCCAAACTGCTAACAAGCACCAGAAGCCAGGAGAGTGACATGAATGGCTTCTTCCTCAGAGCATCCAGAAGAAACCAACCTTGAAGACAGCTTGATTTCTCCAGAATTTGGAAAGAATAAATTGCTGCTGTTTAAAGCCATCAAATTTTTAACAATTTGTTCCAGCAGCTCTAGAAACTCATATAAGATGAAGGGTAGCTGAAGAAATGAGTAAAGAGTTAGGGAATCTAACATAAGTACAACTTGGAAGCCCAAAGAGGGAAAATATAAAGCATAATAGACACAATACTTAAAGTTACAATGACTGAATATTCCAGAACTGATAAAAGGTGCAATCCAGAAAAGAAGTCAATGAAGCACTCTCATAAGAGAGAAAAGACAATCACACTTAGATGCCTTATAGTGAAGCCAGATAAAAACTCAGAGAACAATCATCAAAAAAAAAAATCCATGTAAGTTGTGGGTCTAAAAATGGCAAAACAGAAGTGGAATATTAGAGCACCAGTTATTTCAGTCTAGAAGGGATGAGCCAATGTCACAAATACTTGGTTTTTGAGCCTTTGACAGAACCTACCTTTTCGAATTGGGGGCAACCATGGAGGAAATCTTCATATTGAACCCATTCTCAGAGTCAGAACAAACTGAGTCAGAGTCTGACCCATCACACTTCCTTGAAACTCTTGAGAACTGCAGAATGAGCTGCTGTATCTTTGAACTCAAAAAGGAGAGGGGAAAAGGGCAGGAAAAGCCAAAGGAAACTTCCTTTGATGATAGACCAAATATCCTGTGACTTGGCACACCAGGTAAACTGGGCCTAACTGGATTAGTGACTCAGAATTTATACTTGGTTTGAAGCGGTCCCAAATAAGCATGCCCCAGAGACCTGAGACATGCAAACCCAAAACTTCTCCAAAGGAGGAAAAATTCATCTTATGCCTAAGAAAATTCATGCAAATAAATTTTCAAGTGCAATGACCAATTAGCAATCAAAGTTTGAGTCCTGAAAGAAAATAATATAACTTGAGCAAAAGACATATAACATAAACCAAAGTCATCAGAGCTAGATACACACAGACTTCAGATGTTGAACTTTTCAAATCAAGTATGCTTATAATGTTATAAAAGAAAACCACTAGCTTTAAAGTTTCTACAAGGTATTAAAAACCATTAAAAGTCATAGGCTTTCAAAATAACTAAGCAATGTCTTACAAATGAAACTAAATGAAATAAAAAAATTCAATAGACATGTTTGGCAACAGATCACACATAAAAAAAATTTGTGACCTGTAATATAGACCAGAAGAAAATACTGAGAATACAACACGAAGACAGAAAAATACTGAAAAGTGTCGAGAGGGAAAGACATGCACAGAATACAATTTGAATCCATTTGATGAGAGCCCTCAAAGGAGTGAGGACAAGTAATCCAAAGACAATATCTGAATATTAGATCAAAGGACTGATAAAAGACTCCAACATGTTGATTTAAATGTCTACCTTATTTCAAAGAAGGATAAAAAATAAATTCACACTCATAAGCATCATAAGGAAACTGTAGAAAACCAATGGTAGAGAAAAAAATCTTAAGAATCAGAGATATATTTTTGAAATATGATAGTTAAGTTGGCCATCAGAAGTAACTCCCTCTGAAAGACGGTGGACTCAAAGTGCTGAAGTTGAGATAAGAATGTTCTTTGAGAATTAATGGTCAAGAGAATTTGACTAGAAGAGAATATAATCTGTAAGAGAACATAGCTGTAATCCTAGCTATTCAGGAGTCAGAGATGAGGAGGATTTGCAGTTCAAAGCCAGCCAGAGGCAAATACTTTGTGAGCCCCTATCTCGAAAAAACCCATGCAAAACAGGGCTGGTGGAGTAGCTCAAATGAGGCCCTGAATTCAAACCTCAACACCTCCCCAAAATATGAAATTCTAAAAGGATCAAAAAGAAGAAAAAAGTGGTCAGTATGTGGCAAATGTAAATGAACATTGATTCTGTAAGATAATTAAGTTGTTGAGAAGAAATTAAGAAGTGAATAAATGAAATTAAAGTATTCTTTTGTACCTATGAGGTGGGTAAATATTTTGACTAATTTCCTTCTGTGAATAGTGAAGTGCACAGGTTAAAATTTCTAGAGTAGAGAGCACAAGAAGAGACAATAGCTAAAAATTCCCAATAGAGTAATGTAATAGAAAGAATAGAGATAAAGCAATACGTGGTCAGTTAAAAAAGTCAATGAAGAAGAGAAAATGGAGTGAACATGTGACAAATGTAAAGAACAAATTATTTTTGAAATTCTAACTCATCAGTAATTAAACTGATGAATTTAATTACTACATGAATGAGTCAAAAAGACAAAAGTTGTCATAACAGATCAAAATTAAGCCCAATTACATATTGTTTGTAAGAAATATCTAGAATTTCAAAGAACTAAAATTACACAGAATATATCCTGTGTTCATAATTCACTTAGGTTAAAACTCTTCTGAAAAAGATAACAGAAATATCTTCATATATATTTAGAAATTAAGAAATACACTTCCTAGAAGCCCAGTGGATCAGAGGAGAAGTCACAACAGAAATTAGAACATATTTTGAACTGAATGATGATAACACAAATATTTATGGGAAATTGTCATCTTTCTTCTAATACATATATTAGAAGACAAAGAAAGGTTGAAAGTTAATGGGCTATCATCTCACAAACCAAAACCAAAACAAAAAGCACATAACCCCTTTTTTAAACCAGAGGAATAAAAATTAAAGAACAAAAATCTAAAATTAAAAAATAAAGTGAAGCACATAGTTTCTTCTTTGCAAAGATTAATAACATTGACAAACTCTGGTGAGACTAGGGAGTGGGGGTAGAAGAGTGAGAAGAGCAAATATCAGAAATGAAGAAATAAATCTCCATATATAATACCACAATGACATTAAACGGATAATAACAGGATCTCTACTAGAATGATCTAGAAAATGCTGCTGTAAAAGACAAATTCTGCATGGCTTAAAACCACAAAAGTTCATTTCTTATGTTAGATGTCCATCACTGGCAGAGGATGTCATTTCACTAAATCACTCAGAAAGCCCTCATTGATGTGGAAGGGGAAAAAGGACTTTTATCAACTGCTGGTGGGAATATAAAGTAGTCCAGCCATATGGAATAGGTCATAGTATAGATGTTTCTTAAAAATTAAAAATAGAACTTCCATATGAGCCAGGCACACCATGTCTGGGTATAGGTACACTCAAAAGAATCAAAGTCAGCTTACTACAGAAATACTTGCATACATATGTTTATCATGGCACAATTCTCAGTAACCAAACTATGAAATCAGTCCAGGTGCCCATCAATGGATGAATGAATAAAGAAAATTGCATAATGGAGGTTTACTCAAC